CGCTTTGCGGCAGCAAGTCTATTTTCAGGAGTCGCCCTGTGCACGCTGGGCGGTCCTCAGCCTGGGTGTGTGCCTGGGCGCTGCTCAGTTTTCTCCTCTCTTCTCCATTCTCTTTGTCTCCGCCCACTCAGCTGGCTCCTGGAGTTTGCCTGGGAGGGAAGATATGCTTCTCTGCTCTCAAAAACTCTTCGAAAATTCAACTGCTGCTCCGGAAATCTTGGAGGAGGGACCTGAAAGGTAAGGTGGGCTCGAGGAAGAGAGCAGGAAAAGCTTGAAAGACTGCCCTTGGAGGGAGATTTCTTGGGTGTTGGGAGCAGAGGGACAGGGACCAAAACCTATAACAGCACTAGAGTACCCTGGTTGCCGGATCCTTTGGTCCAGAGCCCTTTCCTGAACCTTTTTATTTGAGCCCTCACTTTGCCAAACACTTGGACTCTCAGGATGAAAATGAAACTGAAAGTGGGACTTGTTCCCGCTGGGCACTCTTTATTTCCTTCTTTTTTCTTCTCCAGGCTTTCCTAGAGTTGATTTTGTTCTTTTCCTTCCTCTTTGCTGCCTCACACCAGCTCACATTAAACTGCCCACAGACATGATTTGTTCAAAGAGTTCATTGCTTGGTAGAGATCACTATCTCTACCAAGAACAAACAACGAAGTTGTTTGTTTACAATGACCTCCCTCGGAGGATGAAGGTTTTGAGACAGTGGGTCGGGTGAGATTGCTAAAAGAATTTTGTATGTGAATTTTGTAGGAGATGCAATTATTTAAATATGAACATAGAAATTTAACAGTGTAGGGCTGTCTGAGGCTTGAATTGATTTGAGAGCAGTTGGATGAAGTTGAACCTAAGGTCCTCTGTTTGTGTAGCATCTGTATGCAGATGACAGAGGAGTATTGTTGTTATGTGCCCTTAAGTCACTTGCACCTCATAGTGACCCTATTTACAACAGCTCTGAACGCTGCTCTATCCTATGCCAACCTGTCTCTGAAACACCTACCCACATTACCCCAGTCACTGAGTCAGTCCCTCTCACAGAGGGTCTTCCTCTCTTGCGCTCTCTCCCAAGCATTCTGTCCCTCTCTAAGGACTGGTCGCTTCTTGCAGCATGCCCAATGTGAGACAATACTTCAAAATCCTTGCCTTAAAGAAACAGCCTGGTTTCACTCTCTCCAGGACAAAACTGTATGCTCTCCTAGCAGTAAGAAAAAAAAAAAAATCTATTCCTAGTCCTCAATAAAAAGGGACTGAGGAATAGGATTAGTAAAAAAAAAAAAATTAATAAATTTCCCCTTTAAAGAACATCATTAGGTATACTCAGTAAGTGATTGCCTAATTATGTCACTTTGTTTTTGTTGCTAAGTAACATTGATTAGTAAATTACTTATTGCTTACTATCCAGCAGGTTTTCAGAAGCAGTAAATCACAAGGGTGGAGATTGCCCATCTTTCTCTTACAGAGTAGCTGGTGGATTTGAACCATGTACCTTTGTGCTGGCAGCACAGTTCTTTACCAATAAGCTACCAGCAGTTTATGTTCTTTTAGTGGGTGGGGGTAGGGGTCTTTCTTTCTTAAAATTAATTCTGTTTCCTCACTTGTGTATACAAGTGCTAATTGTACTACTAATTGAATCCATCAGCAGCTCCATGAAAGAAAGCTGGATGATCCTCTTCCGTGCGATTTACAGCCTCCCAAGACCCACTGGAAGTTCAGTTATGAGTTGTTTCTGACTTGGTATCATTGAATTTTGGATTTAATTTCTTGAGTGCCTAATTCATGTCACCTACTGTACTTTAATGCACTTTACACTCACACTCACCCCTGGGGAGAAAGATAGTCTGCTCCCTTTAAGATTTGTGGCCTCAGAAATCCTCCAGAGTCATTATATGTGAGACTAGACTAGATGATGTGGCTCTGGTTTGGTTGGTATTTTCAAAATATTATTATGTACAGTCGAGTTGGAAATGACCCATAGCTGACCTTCTAGCAGGTTTTAAGAGACTGAATTGCATGAGAGGAGATTACCTATCTTTCTCCCAAGAAACATCTGGTAGATTTGACCACTGTGCCTTTGGGCTGGAGGCCCAGTTCCTTAACACTAGGCTACTAGAGCTCCTATTTTCAAAATTTATCTTAAAACAAGCTCTCTCGTGAACTACAAACACCAACAGATACACGTGGACTTCACCTAATGGTCTACACAGGAATCAGATTGATTATATCTGTGGGGAAAAAATAATTGTAGAAGCTCAATGTCAGCTGTGAAAACTAGGCCACATTCTGATTGTGGAACAGACCATCAACTGCTCATATACAAATTCAAACTGAAGCCAAAGAAAATGAAATCAAACCCACAAGAACCAAAGTGTCTATCTTACCTGAATTTAAAAATCAACTCAGGAATAGATTTGAGGCCTTGAACACACTAATGCATGAAGAAGACCAGATGAGCTGTGGAAGGATATAAAAATTATCATCCGTGAAGAATGCAAAATGTCACTACAAATACAGGAAGAAGAAAAGACCAAAATGGATGTCGAAGAGACTCTGAATATTTCACTAGAGCACTGAGAAAACAAAGCAGAGGGAAGAAATCAAGGTGTTAGGAGCTGAACAGAAGATTTCAAAGGGCAGCTTGGGAAGACAGAGCAAAGTATTATAATGAAATGTGCAAAGAACTGGAGTCAGAAATCAAAAGGAACTAACTTGCTTGGCATTTCTTAAGCTCAAGGAACTGAGGAACAAATTCAAGCCTTGAGATATAATACTTTAAGGATGATATGGGCAGAATGTTGAATGATCCAGGAAGCATCAGAAGAAGATGGGAGGAGTACATGGAGGCACCGTACCAAAAAGATTTGGCGGACACAGAATTTCATGAAACGACACATGATCAAGAGGCAGTGGGGATTGTTAGGGCCGCGAAGCTGCTCTCCCTCCCTTTCCCCAGAACAGCCACAGAAATGATCAAAGCAGCAGCTGCAACTCTGTTTATCTCTGTTAGGGCAGCAAAACGGTTTCACCTCCCTTGCCCAAAAATAACGATCTACAACCCTTGACCTGCTTCTTTAACTTGTACCAAGCAGCTGCATGCATTTCAACCCCCCAATTACCTTGTAAGAAAACAGAGAACTCCACTCTAAGTAACTGTTAGTCTCTGTAGAGTCAGCCTGATAGTTTCTCCTCAGTACACTGTCTTTTCTTGGCCTGAACTGGGTTCTGTCCTTCCTCAGAGACCTTACAGTGGTGAAGAAGGAAGTTGAAGCTGCTCTGAAGGACTTGGCAAAAACAAGGGCCCAGAAATTGATGGAATGCCAATTGACATATTTCAACAAACAGGTGCAGCCCAGGACATGCTCCCCAGGTTGTGCCAAGGAATCTGGAGGACTACCACGTGACCAACTGACTGGAAGAGATCTATGTTTATTCCCATTTCAAAAAAAGGTGACCTGACAAAGTGTGGAAATTATAGAACAGTATCACACATAAGTAAGATCCTGCTGAAGATTACCCAGAAATAATTGGAACAGTACTTTGACAAAGAACTGCCTGATGTACAAGCAGGGTGTAGAAGAGCTTGTGGCACTAGGGACATGATAGCCAATGTTAGATGGATGTTAACTGAAAGCAGAGAGTACCAGAGGAGTGTGTGTTTGTGTTTCATTGACTATGCAAAAGCATTTGACTATGTGGATCACAGTCTCCCCAATTACTTGCTGTGTAACAGACAAATTGTGACTAACCTTGAGAAGAATGGGAATTGCAGAACACTTAATTGTGCTTATGTTAAACCTATATTCAGACTAGGAAGCAGTGATCACAACAGAGCAAAGGAGGATTGCATAGTTAGGTGTATGTTGGGGATGCATCCTATTTCCATACCTTTTCAATCTATATAGGGAACAGATCATTTAGGAGGTTGTACTTTGTAAGGTGGAATGTGGCATCAGAATTGGAGGAAGACTCATTAACAACCTGCACTATGCAGATGACACAACCTTGCTTGCTGAAACCGAGGAGGACCTGAAGAATTTGCTGCAGAAGGTCAAGGATGGTAGTCTGCAGTATGGTTTGAAGCTCAACATCAAGAAAGTGAAGATTCTCACCACTGGGCCAATTGGCAGCATCATGATAGACAGTAAAGAGGTTGAGATTGTTAACACCTGCGGCTTGCTAGGCTCCACAATCAACTCTCTTCGTACCAGTAGCCAGGAAATAAAAAGATGAATTGCATTGGGAAAATCTGCTGTCAAGGACCTCTCCAGAGTATTGAAAAGCATTGATGTTAGTCTAGAGACTAGGGTGCGCCTGATCTAGGCCATAGTCTTCACAATTAGTTGCTATGTACCAGAGAGCTGGAACAATGACTAGGGATGATAGAAGAAGAATTAATAGCTTTGAGCTGTGGTGTTGGAGAAGGGTATTGAATATACCATGCACTGCTAAGAGAACAAACAGGTTTGTCCTGGAGAGGGTATAGCTAGGCTGCTCCTTGAAGGATTTTAAGCTCCGTCTGACATATTTTGACCATGTGGCCAGGAGAGACCAGTTCTTGAAGAAGAACATCATTCTTGGAAAGGTGGAGGGACAGCACAGGAAAGGAAGACCCCAAACGAGATGGATTGACAGAGTTACTAGGGTGATGGCAGTAGGTGTGTAAGAGACAGTGAGATTGGCTCAGGATAGAGCAGCATTCAGAGCTATTTTACATAGGATCAGTATGAGTCACAAGTGACTCAGTGGCACATAACAACAACATAGTGAATCAGGAGATGCAGATTGAAAGGATTGCTAGTCTAAGTTTTATGATTCAGATGTCTTCTCTTTGTGTTAAATATTTCAAGTATCTCTCTCTTCCCCAGGTGTCAACTGCTTGAAGCTTTGAGCTTTGTCCTTTCAAGAATTTCTACTTCCACATGGCTCCTTCAAGAAGTCCAAAGGAAGTATATTTTCATATTTTTTAAAAAAAGAGCAAAAGTTTGTAGCCTAGGGTATTCACCATCATGGAGAGTCAGAGCCCTAATAGCACACAGGAGAGACTTCTGCCCTCCAGCGATGAGAACAAGGCAGATGAAGAAAATCACCCGCTGATCAGTGCTATAGTAGAAGAAGATGTAGAGAAAGTCAAGCAACTGCTGGAACGAGGGACTGATGTCAATTTCCAACAGGCAGGGGGCTGGACTCCCCTGCATAATGCAGTGGTAAATTGCAACACATTGCACAAATCGGAGGAAATTGTGGCTCTTCTACTGCAGTATGGTGCTGATCCACTTCAGAGGAAGGACAATGGGGCCACTCCCTTCATTCTTGCTGGAATTTCTGGAAATGTGAATCTACTACGTCTTTTCCTTTCTAAGGGATCAGAGGTCAATGAGTGTGATTTCAATGGCTTCACAGCTTTCATGGAAGCCGCTACGTATGGTAAGACAGAAGCCTTAAGATTCCTGAAGAAAGAAGGAGCAGATGTAAATTTGGCTCGAGTAGCAAAGGAGAACAAAAAGAAACTTGGGAAAGGAGGGGCCACAGCTCTCATGGACGCTGCCTCCAATGGCCACCTCGATGCTGTGAAGGCCCTCCTTGATGAGATGGAACCAGATGTTAATGCCCGTGACAATATGGGCAGAAATGCCTTAATCCATGTACTTCGGGAGTTTCCAGATGAGAAGGCAAAGGCCCAGACCCGAGAGGCCATCATCCGCCTTCTGCTGAAAAACGGAGTGGATGTGGAAGTGAGAGGAGAAGGAAGGAAGACACCCCTGATCCTGGCGGTTGAGACCAAGGAGTTGAGTTTGGTACGGATGCTTCTGGAGCAAGAGAATATAAAAATTGATGACACGGATGGGGAGAATAGAACAGCTCTGCTAGTTGCTGTCCAGTTGGGACTGGATGAAATTGCCCTTGTGCTGTGTGACCACGGAGCCAGCTTGGATTGTGGGGATCTTGTTAAGCTAGCGAGGCTGAACCACAGGTTCTACCTTGCAAACTATCTCATCAGCAAAGGAGCCAGAAAGGATTTCCTTTCTTCTGCTGCTGACTGGGAGCCTCAGAGTTCACGCTGGAGGGAGGCCCTGAGAAAACTGCACCAGCTAGCCCATCCTATGACTGGTAAACTCAAGATCTTTATTGATGACAAGTATAAAATTGCTGACACGTCTAAAGGGGGTGTCTACTTGGGCTTCTATAATGGGAAAGAGGCAGCTGTGAAGCTGTTCCAAGAAAGCAGCGAGGAGGCACAGAAAGAACTCTCCTGTCTGAAAAACAACTATCTTAACAGTCACTTGGTGACTTTCTATGAGAAGGAGACTCAAGGGGGCTGTTTGTATGTGTGCCTTGCCCTCTGTGAACGAACCCTGCAGGAACACTTTGCCAACCACAAGGAGACAGAAGCTGCAGGAAACGGGGAGGATGTGTTTGCCCGGAAAACCCTATTATCTGTTTTTAAGGCTCTTGAAGAACTACATCTGGTATACATCCACCAGGATCTGCACCCAAAAAATATCTTAATAGGTGAGTCTCCATACTCTCTTCCTCTTTAGACATTTGTTAGGTCTGTCTCACAAGGAATAGTTTCCATTGTAATTTGGAAAGGGCTAAGGTCAATTTTCTCGTGTAGGTTATTCAATCCAAAGACTCTTGCAATGACTTCCCAAGTTCAGCCTCTCCTAGCTAGTTACTAGTTAAGCTGAGTTCCCGTAGACTACCTATGGAGCTTTGACAGCTTTGTGGTAGGGCATTGTTCTGCCAACCTAATAGTCATATGGTTTGAATCCACAGCAGCTTGGACGGGCATTCTCTTCCCATGCTTTTTATTGCCTCTCATAACCTGCTGGAGGGTCAGCTGTGAATTGGTTCTAACTCTATAGCAATGAGTTTGAATTTTTGTTTGCAAACTACCCCTTAGATTCTAAGAATGCAGTTCGTCTAGCAGATTTTGACAAAAGCATCAAGTGGGCTGGAGATACACAGAAAATTATGAGAGATCTACAGGTAATTTCTAAAATTGTATTTGTCTTTTTCATTTTTCTATCTGCTTCCTCATACATTAGCTTACTTTCTTCAGCCTATGGGAATGTCTGGTTTTATTTTTGGTTTTTTTTGGTGGTTTTTTTTTTGTTAGTTTGGGTTTTTTTAGAATGTCTGTTTTAACTAACAAGGAAAGTACATTTATACTTCTTTCTGATTTTAGATTGAATTTTAGATTTACAATAGACTCAAGGTTTGAGAAGGGTGCCAGATTTCCAAGGCAGGCAATGCATACCTGTCAAATTCATGAAGAGAGTTCTGGTGGCTTAGAGGTAAGGAGTTGCACTGCCAACACAAAGGCACGCAGTTTGAATCCACCGGCTGCTCCACAGAAGGAAGATGGGCAGTCTCCTCCACTGTGATTTACAACCTCTGAAAACTTGCTGGAGGGTCACTGTGAGTCTTTTCCAACTCGATGGTACTTAAAAACAACAAATTAAAGATAGTTCACTTTAAGCCTTGTGGATGGCATTTTGGTGTTTTGTTTTTTTTTGTTTTTTTTTTTTTTTGTCTTGCGTATTAAGTTGAGAAATGAAAATCAGAACTAAAATAAAACTTCAAAAGTATTCAGAATTATCAAAGTGATGGGGTCAGTGGCAGGTCATTGATAGAATTCCAACTTTCGATGTGGGAATCCCAGGTTTGATTCCTGGCCAGTGCCCTTTGCATGCAGCTGCTAGTTGCCAATGAAGGCTTGCTATGGTGATAACCAGGTTTCAGTGTAGTTTCTGGACTAAGATGGACTAGGATGAAAGACCCAGTGATTTGCTTCTAAAAACTCAGCAAGTGGTCTTGTTTCATTTTACATGGGGTCCCTATGAGTTAGAGCTGACTCCATGCCAGCTAAGAATGACAGTCATAGTGTAATTGTTGATATCATGAGAGGTTCAAGGCATTCTGCAATATCACTCCTGTTCTCATTCCCCAGCAGACAACAAACATTTCACTGAGCTTCTTACTGGAGTTGGGCCTTCAGTGTGGCTTGGTGTTGCTTTGTCCTTTTCTGATCTCCCACTTCCTTCACTAGCTAAATAACTAGCTAAATTGAACACACCACACACCACACTAAGCTCTTCTCCATCCAAGTATCTTCTACCTAAGGAAAGACAAATGAGATTTTTCTTTGACTTCCAACAGACTTGTGTGCTCAGCTCCATAGGGGCCAAATACTAAGGTCTTTTGAAAGTGTTTGGAAGGATGGAGCCAGTTCACTCATTGCTGTTGAGTTGGAACTGACTCATAGCTGATCCATCAGTGAGCTTTTAGAGGTTTTTAGGTACTGTTTTTCAGTCAGCAGTGAAACCCCAAATAACTATGCCGTCAGAGTGTAATAATCTAATGTTGACTAAAAAGTTAACACCTGAAAGTAGTGACTATTACTCTCCTGAAGGGGGCAGCTAGTGTTTGCAGACTATGGCCCTGTCATACACTCTTGGGGAGTGTGCCCAGATAGTTCAGTGTGCTGAACTATCAACCGGTAACAAGCACTCTCTTTGTATTGGGTGGGCCTCTTGCCTTAGTTGACTTTACATTTTTGCCTTTGTGATTCTGTGACTTCAGATGTCAGCTCTGACTATGTCTTAATTGGGCAGAGTTTCCACAACGGCCTGATTCTGACTTTCCTTCCTGCCTGATTCTGACTTTCCTTCCTGCCATGGTCTGTTCCATAGGTTCTCTCTCTCTCTCTCTCTCTCTC